AACGAGTGTCCCCCATCGTCTTTTTTTAAACACCCACGTCGTGTGCCAGCGAGCTGAGTTACTTCAGAAAGTCTTTGTCTCCTGGGAGTATCCCAAGCTCGGATTAAATATGGCGTTAAAAGCTGCCCTAATTTGCTTGTGAGTTAGGATCAGGGGTTGCTTAGCTCTATAACTGACCTCGTGACATATATATATCTCTATAAATCTTGCGATTTAGAGCAGTAATAACTGTAGCAATAGTATTATCAAACATTTTATTCTGTTGATACTTCAGTCATTTATGTATTCTGTTCATACTTTTTCCTGCTAAACGTATCTTCTACAGTAAGCACATAATAATTACACTCTACACTTTCATGTATCCACCTCAAATTCCAGAGTTTTCAGAATGACGGTCTGAATACCAACATTGAGCTTTGGTCGCGACAGGGTCACTGCTGACGGTACTGTCAAGCTGTCTGCCACACCGCTGCCTGCCCTCGGGTTTCCATCGCAGCCCTCACTGGTGTCTTTGCCTGCCCTCGGGTTTCCATCGCAGCCCTCACTGGTGTCTCAGACTCCATTTGGAAGGTCTGTGGACCAAAGGGACTTGGCCAGATGTCTCCACGGGTGGGCTGCTGAGCACTTACCCAACAGGCATCGGAGAGTCCCAGGCAAGGATCTCGAAGAGCTGATTGACTAATACAAGACCAACAACCCCACTACCTTTGGCCCCATTACTGGACTTCCCCATTGTTTGCATAATGGTCAGATGAGCACCTAAATTTAGTCAATCTAATCACAATATTTTTAAAAAATCAGAGTTTTCTTCTTTCTCAGGAGTAGACGTGTTCTTGAGTGGTTGATGCAGCAGTACTACAGGCCTCCCTTTCTTTGACAAATTGCTAGCAAACAGCAGACTTGAGTGACAAGACTCCTCACTTGAGTGATAGCAAAATGCAGGTGATCTCTCTAAATGCATACTATTTGGCAGGAATCCCTTCAGAACCCCTGCAGTTGTATAGCATGAGGAGAGAACTCCCTCTGACCTTTTTATATTCCTGCTGCTGAAGATTAACGTGAAAAATGAGGGCTGTCCAATTTATTGCTCAGTTAAGTGCAGCATGGGTTACATTATCATAGTTTTATTCAGGGTTGGAAGTGGTTGGAAATAAAAGCAGCAAGCAAAAATAAGACCTATGATGGGACAGTTCAACAGGTAGTGAAAGGCATCATCCTGCAGTTTACATCTGTCCTGTCATGATTGGGATGGCCTACCTTAGATAATACAGAAATATTAGAGGAAAAAGGCTGTAATTAATTTTATGTTTTAATTTACAATTCTTAGAACTACTCTGGTCATGCTACAAAATGAAGGCTGATTTGTTTGTTTTTCAGATCAGCTAAACTATTAATGAGTGCTGGCAGCAGTGAAGAAGATATAGATGACATTATTGATGAAATCTGTAATGACAGCAGCTTTGCCAAAACACCTCTGGTGAGTAGGAGTCTGGAGAAATGCAGAATGGATGAGGTGCAGTGATGGGAAGAAAAGCACCATAAACCAAAACTGGTTTAAAGCAAAAAATGAACTAAACCAAGCGGTAGGATAAACTTGGAAAATAAAGCAGAAAGGAAAATGCAATAATCCTAGAGTGAGGAACAGGAGAGGTATGAAGAGATGGTCTTACCCAGGCAGTAACAGGCAATTAAAGGAAATGTTAGTTCAAGATAGAGCATAGTGTCAAATATAGCAGAATCATGGAATGGTTGAGGTTGGAAGGGACCTCAGGACGTCATCTGGTCCAACCACCTGCTCAAGCAGGGCCACGTAGAGCTCGTTGCCCAGGACCATATCCAGACGGCTTTTGAGTATCTCCAAGGATGGAGACTCTACAGCCTCTCTAAGTAACCTGTTCCAGTGTTTGACCACCCTCACAAGAAGTAAAGAAGTTTTTTCATATGTTTAACTGGAATTTTTGTGTTTCAGTTTGTGCCCATTGCCTCTTCAACTGTCACTGGGCCCCACTGAGAAGAGTCTGGCTATGTCTTCTTTATTCTTCCCCATCATATATTTTTATACATCGATAAGATTCTCCTGACCCTTGTCTTCTCCAGGCTAAACAATTTCAGCTCTCTTAGCCTCTGCTTGTATGTCAGATGGTCTAAGTTCTTAATCACCATTATGTCCATGTCTCTTTTGTACCGGGCTGTGAGGCCGTATCTGGAGTACTGTGTCCAGTTCTGGGCTCCCCAGTACAAGAGAGAGATGGAGCTACTGGACAGCCTCCAGCAAAGGACCATGAAGATGATTAAGAGACTAGGGTATCTTTCATATGAGGAGAGGCTGAGAGAGCTGGGACTGTTCAGCCTGCAGAAGAGAAGGCTCCAGGGGGATCTTATCAATGTGTGTAAATACCTGATGGGTGGAGTAAAGAAGGGGCCAGACTCTCCTCTGTAGTGCCCAGTGACAGGACAAGAGGCAATGGGCATAAACTGAAACACATAAAATTCCATCTGTACACAGGAAAACACTTTCTTACTGGAGGGGTGGTCAAACACTGGGACATGCTGCCCAGAGAGGTTGTGGAGTCTCCATCTGTGGAGGTTTTTAAAACCCAACTGGACACAGTCCTGGGCAGGCTGCTGAAGCTGACCCTGCTTTGAGCAGGGGAGCTGGCCTAGATGGTCTCAAGAGGTCCCTTCCAACCAAAATGATTCTGGGATTCTGTCTCACCAGTGCTGAATAGAGAGGAAGGATCACCTCCCTCGACCTGCTGGCAGTGTCCCTCCTAATGTGGCCCAGGATGCTGTTGGCCTTCTGTGCTGCAAGGGCACACTGCTGGCTCATGGTCAACTTAGCATTGACCAAATTTCCTGCAGCTTTCTCTGCCAAGCTGCTTTCCAGCTGGTCCACCCTCAGTGTGTTCTGGTGCATGAGGGTTATTCCTCCCCAGGGGAAGGAGTTTGCATTTCCCTTTGGTTGAACTTCAAGTGATTCCTCTCAGCCCATTTCTGCAGTCTGTTGAGGTCCCTCTGAATGGCAGTCCCATCATCTGGCATACCAACCACTGTTCCCCATTTTGTATCATCTGCAAATTACTTCTGTTGTTTGATAGCGGGAGATGGAGATGAAGCTGCAAATTTACATTGTCAAGACAGAGTGATAGAAGACATTGAAAACAGATACTCATTTAGGTATCATCAGTAGAAGACTGTGTTATTTATACTTCATAACACCCTGTGCAGATTCTTATTTTCATGAGTGACGTTGGTTTTGCTTTGTTCAATTTCTTACAGAGTGGCTAAATCTGAACCAAAAAAACCACGTGTATACGACAATACATATGTCTGAGTGAGAAAGAATTATGTCAGTAAATTTGTACAATTTTATCATTTTATATCCTTAGGACTTCCCATTTAGGATCTAGAATTCTCATATTCTAGAATTCAAATAAACTCTTTTATGTGCAGCAAATAAGAAACTTTTCAAAGACACTTTATCTTTTTAAATAATTTAAGTCCTTGATGTGTTTTCAGTAAAACAAAAGCTCAAAAACATTGAGAAGGTTCCTAAATTAAAAGTGGTTTTAAAAGCAAAATTATTAAAAAGAGGACATGAAATACTAAGTCTTGGTTGTAAAGTCAAAGTGATCATGTGGTGTTGAATTCCTTCAGGCAGAGCTGGGAATTCCGTATGCGAAGAGAAGCCTCGTTCCTCATTTATCTGTTACTTCAGCAGCTTTTGTCTCAAAGAGCCTCACAGAAACCTGAGCAAGAAAATTCCCAAATTCTTAGTCCCCTTCTTCTGTGACTGAGATTTTCTGGCTCCTGCTTATTAAGTAAAACAGAATATTGTTACCTTGCTGTAATGCTGCCTTTTATTCTTCGATTGCTTTTTAAATAGAAATTGAAGTCTAACTCTGCAAGTCTCACACCTGAAAGCAATAGTGCTGTTGTGCAGGCTCATAGGAGAAGGTCAGTGAAAAATGTTTTGGCTAGTTGAACATAGCTTGGTTATAGCTTATTGTCAGTCTAATAATATTGCAACTGTTTAATCTGTGTTGACATTAACTAAGAAGGAAACTGCGTGTTTAGAGAAGCATTCTTTTTAAAGAAAAACAAAGATAAACAAAGATAATTTTGAAGAATTACTCATGTGCTTTCATGTGGTCAAAATTATTTACTATAAATTTCTTAATTATTTAAGTTATTGAACAAAAGCTTCCTTTGCCTTATGGACATACACATTTATCAAATGCTGCAATATATAGTCCCTTGTATATTTGGTATAGACAGTGTTTATCATAGAGTTTTTCTTTGAACACCTTGGTAATGGAAATTTTAAAATTCTAGAGTTTGTAAGCATTTGGATGCTTTGCCTATATTTAATAAATATTATTGTAGAAATACCATGCTGTTAAACTAGGAGAAGCACTGTACTACTTTCTCCAAAATGTTTTGCTATAATGTAATATTTCTTAATGAAATCCATATAGATGCTGTCCAGTGTACTTGGGTGGAAGCTCTTCACCATATGGCATAGGAACAAATGTTTCAAAAAGGTAGGGAACATGAGAAAATGTTCTACATGCTTTATCATTACTTTTATTCAGAACTGTGTTTCTGTGGTGGTACAGAGTTCTGCATTTGAACCGGGCAGGACAGCCCTGCATTCATCTAAACACGTGGCTGCCTGCAACTGCGGTTGAAGTCAGCTGGTCCCTTCCAGTCCTCTGTTGTTGACCACTAGATCTTTTGTTCATCTGAGGCATTGAAAGATTTGTGCAAATGACAGATGACACTCCAAAAATCAGTAACATGTAGTTAAGGAAATTGCTGCTGTAGAGTATTGTTATTTTTCTCTGCCTCTCTTCAGCTTTCTATGTGATGCCGAGTATGTGACTTAAATCAGTGGGCTGGTTTAAATCATCCCAGAGCCTGAACTGAAAATAGCCAGAGTGCTTTGCAACTGCAGCTGTACTTAGTAGGAGGGGTACTTTAAAGATTTATCCCCACCATCCTATAGAGCATTATTGTATTTCCATGTCAGATTTTTGTAGTAAGTAATTATGCACTTGATGCATATTTGGATGCTGGTTAGGTGCCATACCAGTGAGGAAGACCAAAGAGAATATATCAAGAGAATATCAGTTTATTTTATGTGTTCAGTGAGGTTAGGAACCTGTAAAAATAATACATGATCATATAGTTAAAACACATACCATAATGAATGTGCCAGAGACGTAAAAAAATTAAGATTACAGGGTAACCTTGCTTCTAGTATTTCTGAGTGAGCACTGTACTTTAAAACAGTTAATGATCTGTGTAGCTTCTCTGATTGTAATAAGATCTTGGAGCTTTCTGTTCTTTTTTGACCAGAACATGTGATCAACTACGTTGTACTGCTTGCGACTTCCGTGTGTCACTTTTCAATGACTACATCTGGGATCAGTCCTGTGATTATCTTTTTTTCAGGTATGCCTGAGATGGGTTTGGTATTAGTATTGTTTACTATGCCTTGGGGGCTTGATAGGAATGGGAAAGATGAAAAGTTGTGAGCACTCCTGTGTTACCTAGAAAGGAGCATGTGTGCAACCTGTTCGGTGATCAGGTGGGAAAGTCTGCAGGGAGAGGGATGCAGCATCTCCCATAATCTGTTTTCATGCCTTTCCACTTCTCCCATCACTCTCCCTCCCTGCTTTTAAAAAGAATTCAAGTTTCATGGATCAAAAGGCAACTTTATTGCTGAAATAAGCAGATCATCTGTGTGATGGGTTGGCCTCTGGTTGCAGGATGCCTACAAAATAAATGCAGACTGTTCAGCATGTACTTCTGACCGTACCTTCAGTCATACAGACTGTGAATGTTTCAAGTCAGATTTTCTTTTTTCCAGTATCAAGTATTATGCTGTCATGTTCAGTGAAAATCAGATAGCTTGATTTCTTAACAGTCTTCTTTTTGAAGCAAGGTTTGATTAAATGGAGGGGTGGGATTTTTGTTTTCTTGTTATATTGTGATGTCTTTGACTTTAATTATTTAGATTTTTTTTTTGAAGACTTAAAATGAAGGCGTTCTTATTTCCAGTTTCTCTAAAACTGTATCTAATGCAAGACTTAGTGAAGGGTAGCGTAGTAGGCATACTGCTAATATAGACATTGAATTTGAATTCCTCTGATTTTAGTAAAGTCTCTGTACATGCCTGTTGACTGATGGAGGTAGTGGATGCGTTCAGAGTAGGAGCTTGGCCACCAGGGGTTGAGCCCACTGGAGCAGGACAGTCATGGATATGTCATCTCCTTTTCCATTATTTTTCCTGTATTACAGGTTAGGCTTTTCCTGTATTTTCCTTCCAGTTTTGATATTTGTAATTCTCTCTGAATGAAAATCTTACTTTCCCATTGTTTCAAGCAGTATTAAAAATACAGTGCTGCAGTAGCCTCCTGAGATGAGTTTGGTAGCTGGAAAGGTTAAATGAAAATATGATTCTTTTATTTACTCAAAGTCTAAATTATTCTGCTTCTGGGATCTTGAAATTAATTAAATTTAAAAAAAAAGACATGAAAGGCCTTAGTATCAAATACTTGTAACATTGATTAAAATCTGTAATCTTGAGCAAGAAATTTAGCTATTTATTTTGACTGACCTGAATTTTAAAAAGCAAACTTGAAAAATAAACATTTGCCTTCCATGAACAGGTGTCTGACCTCTTTTTCTAGAAATTCTTCCTGTGATGTTTGTTTTGTGTTTTCTTTATTTAGCTGGGCTTGTTAATGTTGTTTTTGAGCAATTCAGTGGCTGGTAATTGATGGCCAGGAGGAGCTAATGAGAGCAGGGATAGTTAAAATGCTAAATTTTCACTTGTTTTTTGAAACAACTTATTTTTCTAATAGCCATGCTGATTTTTCAGTTGTTGTGGTTGATGCTTGCAGAGGTATTATTTGTGGTTTGATGGACATTATTCTCTCTGATGGCCATTTCATTTCATTCACTTTAACTACCATCCTGAGTAACAGTTCCTGATGAAAAGTTTAATTCTGTAGTTGTACCCATTCTGCATAGGGATTTTTACAGGAAGTTTGATAAGATAAATACATTTTTGGGTAATTTCTTAACACAAGAATTAACTCTACCTGGTTTTCTTACCAACTCTTTCTCTGGAGGCTGACACAGGGTCTCTAAACCCCAACAGAGAACATTGCTTACAAAAACATCAATCTCCAGTTGATCTGAGAATACAGCAACTACGGACTGAGACTGCTCTCAGGAAAGAATTGTGTTCAAGATAGAATTTAAATATATCCCTAAACTGATTCGTAACAGTGGTTCTTAAGAGCTTTTCTGAGTTGAAATGGCCTCATGAATCTTTTTTTCTTTAAAAAAAAAAGGCACGATCCTAAACTGAATTCACTTGATTGGCAGGAATAACATGCCTGAGCTCAGTAAACTGAGAGCGAAGATGATAAAGAAGAAAGGAGCACGAGCATATGCTTGTCAGTGCAGCTGGAGATCCATTGATGGATTAACTGACCTCCAAACAGACCAGCAGCTTCGGTGGGTTTGTGGTAAACATGCAGAATGAAGTCCTCTTGTGTGTGGTACCTACTTGTGTGGAAACAGGTCATAAACTCAAGTTGTTTCCCATGCAGATTTCTGAGAACAGATGGAAAACTGAATACTTAGATCTAGAAATAGGTTATAACACCCAGACTTCAACCTGAAAACTATTTTTCAATTTAACTGTCTTGCAAGCAATATGGGGAGTTGAATTATTAGAAGAAACAACCAATTTGGAGGCTTTCTGGAAGCTAAATGAGGTTAAAGCTCATACTCAGTAGGGTTAAAGAAAGAAAGAGAAAATCGACAGATTTAGGCATGGGGCAAAGCGCCTTGAAACTGTTCCTCATATCTAGCAGAGAGCCTTATTTCCCATGTCTGCACAATCTTGGACTCAAAATGGTGGGTTGGGATGCAGCCATGACACACAAGCATATGAACTTCTGCACGGAAATTAATACTGCTGTTCTGCTTTGCTTATAGCTGTTAATGAGCAAGTGGTTGTAGATCTCAAAAAATTACTGCAAGATCAGCTCTCACCTCAAAGGTTTCAGCACACCCCAAAACTTCACTTTCTTTCACCCACCAGTAGCCAAAAACCGCAGGTGCTGGAAATTTCCTTCCAGTTCCTACTGCTTTCTTCAAAGCACTTTCTGCTGACTAAAGACTTTCACGACAGTGAATTTCTTGGACTTCCCTGCAGCCTTCACTGCAAGAGGTGAACAAGTTATTGTGCAATTATTAAATATTGTGCAATTTTAAAGAGGTTCTGAAAAGTATATGACTCTTCTATCAATATTTTCAAGGGAAAAAAGGCTCAGGCTTTTAAGAGTAAGAAAATACATATCCCCACGGACGTTCAAATTTGGATTTTTTTTCAGTTTCACTTAGCTTTCACTTCAGCTTCACTTCAAAATACTACATATTCAGAAAATGTAACTGTCCTGTTTCAACACACTCCCTTCTCCCAGTAACATCGTAAAATTACTTCCAGTATCATGTTACTTGGTGAATTGTCTTGATTACAATTAATGTCACTACAGTTTATGAGCTTTTTCTTTTCATTATGTATAAATAACACAGGAGATGAATTTGGGTTTTGGGCGGGCAGAGAGGAAGGAAAGGATTACCAGTCCTGGCAATTACTACATTGAGAAGTGTCTCAAAGTGGGAAGTCTGTCAGTATTTTTGCTATGCAGTATGTGATACTGTACAGATAAATTCAAAATTACTTACTTTGTGCAATTCTAGTTATACAGAGCCATTTCTTTTTTTGTGAAGTTTTGCTCACAGCCGTAATCTGTACATTGTTGATCTGTTCTTTTTCTGAGCTTTTCCAAAACAATTGCATGGTCTTTCTCATAGAGGTCATCCCTCAAATCTTTCGCTTTGTACCGCTCTGAAAGAGCAGATCCCGGTAGTGACCAGAGGCGTAATGTACGCTGCATCCTGCTCACCTTCCCCCTCCACGAGTGTTTTTTTAGAACGTGCAGAGGACCAGCGGTGTGCCTGGGAGGCCTGGCAGTACTTACGTACGCAGTGCTTTGGTGCTCTAGAGTGCGCATTCCAGTGCCACGTGCGGCCTTGCTAGTAGGTTCAGAGGTGAGTTGGCTTTGGAGAGGTACTACTTGGCATAATGGTGTAGACATATTTAGGGTCATGTATTGTTTTCCATGCAATTGGTGTTTCAGGCTGAAGTTTCAACTAGAGTCTAAAACTGCAGGTTTGGGAGACAGAGAGACCCAGAGACCAGTTGATTAATGCTCAGTCAGCTACTGGAAGAGGTCTGCTTGCCTTTCTGTCCTTTGTGAAGAGATAGGCAGTGTGTGGGCTGTAAGCAGTAAATGTTCCTGCGTTTTCTTCAGGTGGGCCTGAGCGATTTGCATTCCCAGAGAACATCAGTGCTAATGGTAAGAGAAGAACCCAGGGGTAGTATGTAATTTATTAACAAGCTCTAGAGAAGAAGAAACCCATTTTTCCATTCTTCTTCTTGAAGAATAATGCATTTCAAAAAGTGCTGAGTTGCCTTGGCTTGCCTGTTCCAAGGCGATTTGAAACTGATGACCAAGTAGCCCCACAGGATGCTCTCTTTGCATCTTCTGCACTGGAACTTGTGCCACAGTGTAGGGAACAAGCTCGGCTTCGAAA